CTCTCTCTCTCTCTCTCTCTCTCTCTCTCTCTCTCTCGCTCTCACATCCTATTTGCACTCTGTTTCTTGCAAATCCCTTCTTCCCCTCCTCCTTGGACGCCCTGCCAACCTCTCCCCCCTTTTTTCCGTGTCCTTTAATAATTGTTACTGTTTTTTTTTTTTGTCTGTTAAACCACTAGTACCTTTGCTGCGTGGGAAAATAGCGGGCCTTGGGTGGGCCTCCGACCTTTTCGGATGGCCGAAATGAAACGACTGCCGCCTATCAGATTTATCAATGGCAGCCGTCGTCGGGCCCAGCCTCCGAGTTTTCAGGAGATTGGGAAAACTGCCAGTTTTCCCTAATTTCCCAAAACTGGGCGAGATACTAGTGGTTTAAGACCACCAGTACACGGCCCCAGCCTTGCAGAAATGAACTCGTCCCAACAGCAAAAATTCGGGGCGGACTGGGGGCTGGGCTGCCGTTGATAAATTCAATTGGCAGCGGCCTTTGTTGCATTACCAGCCTCCACGGCTGATGTATGGATGTTCTGGTGGTTTATGCCTTTTGCACAGGTTCTGTCCTATGCCTGAAGTGGTGCCTACCTTCTTCCCCCAAACACAACATACGGTCGTTATAGCTGTATCTAGACTGAAAGATGCCTCAAATGCAGCTATAATGACCGTACGACGTATGTTGTATTCGGGGGAAGAAGGTAGGTGTTTCCTTTTAGAAAGGGTTAGCTCCGTAAATCATTGTTGTTTTCATTAGAATCCACATCGGGATTTTCACTCGTCATCTATACTCAACAGCTGCATGGGTTTGGTTGCGGAAATGCCGAGGCTCTAGCAACATCCGCCCCTCCCCTGTTTTCTCATCCCTTGCAGAGCCGTCCAACACTTCCGTTAGTCTTCCCAGCGCTAGCAAAATGTTTTTGTCAGCAGTGCTCTCTCGAGTCTCTACCACCTCTGCGCCATTTTTTCAAGTTACTATTTTCTTCCCCGCTTCTCTTTTCGTCGTTTTTTTTTACCTTTTGTCCATGTATCCACTCTCCCCCTGTTGTGGTCCCTCTGTTCGGATTGCAGCTCTGTATTCCTCACGGTGAATCTTGAACCTCTTGTTTATTGCCCGGCTTCCTTGGTGAGGCCTTGTGGTTTCTGTGAGATCACTTCTGCACTTGATTTGAGATGATTTGATGCCCCTTTCCTTGTCATGGTGTAGACATGCCTTGATTGCGATACCGATCTCTGGGCTACGAATTATATGCTGTGCCTGGATTGCGATACTGATCGCTGGGCTACGAACTATATGCCTTGCCTGGATCGCTATACTGAGCTCTGGGCTATTGACCGAATGCCTTGCCTGGATTGCTATAACAATCTCTGGGCTATGAATTATATGCCTTGTCGAATGTGTTTTGTTCTCTCGGGGCTATGGACCGAATGCCTTTTACCATTCTTGTCACTTCTTGAAGTGTTATCAATCAAAAAAAAGAAAAAAAGGAAGAGGATCGGCAGGTGGGAAAGGTGGACTTTCCTGTGCCTGCTGTGTTGAATAAACAAGTCGTTCAACGTGAGATGGTTATTGCCAAGCTAAGTGCAATACGCACGTCTTTGTGGTGGTCGTTGGGTTGTCTCTTTTGCAGTGATGGACTCGAAACTTCTTCAAGCGAGAGTGAAGATGCAGCAGAAGTACCTGGATCAATTCCATGACCTGTATGAAGACTTCCACATCACTAAGCTGCCTCTTCTTGAAGAGGAGGTGATTACCCTTTCTTCCCTTCATCCCTATGTACCTGTTTCTCCCTCACAGAGTTTTCAAACTGGCAAGTATCAGGCACCTTTGCCCTCCCCATAATGACCCTCCTTATGTGGAGCACCAGTTCGAAGCTTTCCCCGCTTATAGAGAGTCAGAGCCGTTTCTGCTTGTGGTTGAGGGAGCAGGCAATGAAGTATACACGTCACTCACTATTAGCCAGTCTTTCTCTCTCTTTGGTTTGAGTATATACCCACCCTTTTTCTCTCAGCGGTTAAAGTGTACCCACTCGTTTTCTCTCTGTGGTCTTCGTATACCTACCCTTTTTCTCTCTGCAGTAGACTACACTCACATTTTTTCTCTCCGTGGTCGAGTACTCTCCTGACTCCCTCCCTCCCTCCCTCCCCCCCCCGCTCTCTCTCTCTCTCTCTCTCTCTCTCTCTCTCTCTCTCTCTCTCTCTCTCTCTCTTTCTCTCTCTCTCTCTCTCTTTTTTTGTGAATGTGACAGAGGAGGGGAGCTTCAGACAGGAACTGGAAAATAAAAAGAAGAAATAAATGACAGAAAGCCTCCAGCGGCAACATTTGCGATAGTGACGGGTTGCAGTGTTGAGATGACAGTCTTTTCTTCTTCCATCCTATAAGAGTAAAATTTGAAAAACAAACTAAAGACTGACCGGGCGTAAGAGGACTGGAGAACCCTTGAGGCGAGCGGGGCACCAGTAATCTAAGCCTCCTGATCATAAGATTGAGCGGCTCCCAAACGCTGTGGGAGCGACAAAGCAAAAGATTATGATTGGCACTGTCTGGTATACGTGCGATAAACTAAGACAGACACACAGACTGTCTGGTATACGTGCGATTAACAAACGCAGATGCGCAGCTTGACCCTCCCCTCCCCACCCTCCTTCTTCCCCGAGCATTGACAGGGGAGAAACCCTAGGGCCTAGACAAAGTTGAGAACCCCCCCTTTCATATGTTTAAATAAGAGGTTGATGGTATGTTATGTGGCTATCCGTTCCCCGGTTCCAAATGGTGACCTTTGTCTCTGGCTCGCCTTTTTGCAGGTTAGAGGCGTTGATGCACTAAAGCAGTTTGCGAAACTGTTGCTGGAAGCGTATCACCCGAGGCAGGCTGGAGGATTATCATCTGACGCTATGGAGGCTGTTTGTAGAGAAAATGAAATTCTCCGGAAGCGAGTAGCTGCTCTTGAAGAGGAGGTGAAGGCACTCCAGAAAGGGAAGGCTAAATTGTATGGAGATTGATCGTAACCGAAAAAAAAAGACAGCAGTTTGAGAACATTGATGCCATCACAAGGTGGTTTAGCAGTGTGTTCAGGATTCACCTGAGTGGAGGACTAGGAAGAAAGGCTCTCTTTTTCTTTTTCTTGTTCTTCTTTGTTAGTTTCCTGACAATCTTTACGAAGCGGATACTTATCTTGTCTAGCAGGTATGAGCTAAGGATTGTTGTTTGTAGGTTGGTTATCCTTTGTGACAGGTGGCGCGCTTATTTCTCGGCTCCCGTGGTGCTCTTTTTTATTGTGTCGGTTGGAAACAACTAGCTCACCGCTCTTGCAGCCGGTTAGTTCCCGAACCTCCTGTGCTTTTTTTACCCTTGATTTTTTTTCTTTTGTTTTCTTTTTTATTCAATGGCTTGCCTGATGCACCACCATTCTTCGCATGGTGCTCTTATTGTGTGGGTTGGAAACAACTAGCCCTCGCCCGTTCTTGCAGCCGGTTGTGGGAGGTCAGGTCCTTGGTGGGAGGATTGGTTCTTTGAAGCAGTCTGGCCCTTGTCAGTGTGTTTTTCTGTGACCGACACTCTTTCGAGGCGTGGCTTCTGTACTTTGCATTGTCTATTGTCTCTCCTTTTCTTGTTGGTTATTCTAGTTTGTCTGGCCTTTCACATGCAGATCATGCCCTTGACTAATGCGAGGGTAGTGGATATGAGAAAAGGCTTATCTTGGACACAGAGGATGAGTTCCGGGCAGCCGTTGAAAGAGGAAAAGTAGGAGGGGCCTGGTTCAGCGATGGTGAGGGGTGTTTTTTGGGGGGGAATCGTCCTAGGGAAGTAAACATGAGTGATTCTGGAGCTCAGTTGTTGCATGTGGCACTTGAATTTTTGTTGTGTCTCTTGAAATCTTCTTCCCATGGAATAATTTTAGTGACGACTCCTCGTATCGTTGGCAGCGACCTGCACGAGGACGTTTTTTGCATTTTCAGCGGAGAAGAACCGTAAGGGAAAATGTTTGCGTGTTTATTCCGCAGGCAGGCACGTCTAAGGGGAATGTGCAATTATTCAAGCAAGTGTGGGGGTCCCTCTTCGTATCTATTGAATCTGATGGTCCTGGCGGGTGCAGCATTGTGAGTTTACCCTTCTCAAGGGACAAAAGAAGGGAGTAGCCGTGTTTGAGGCGCATGAGCAAGCTCCTTGGTTTTGTCTGCTCATGACGGCTGCAGGGCATTCTCTTATGTAGGTAATGATTGGTCTTCTATGTCGTCGCCGCCTGTTGTAGGATGCCATTTCTTTCTGTGCCACGCACGCTTTTGCTTTTTTTTTTTTTTTTTTTTTTTTTTCCAGCCAATTACCGCACCTGTACTGTTTCACTTTTTATTCGTGCTGGGCATGTTTCAACCCCCCCCCCCCCCACACACAAGTTTGCCATTCTAGCAAAAATAATCGCCGAGTTCAAAGTTTAGACCTCCTCTCGATCGTATTGAGCGAGCTGTCCCCGGAAGAAAAGTTGTGAATGATCTCTGATGATCTGGTCTGAAGTTCTCTACTCAACGGCGTCAACGCACATTTTGTGTGTGCGGAAACGGGATAGAAGTATATTGAACTGGCTGCGTCGTGTTCTTCTAGCTCCTTTCTCTCCCCCGGGGAACCCGGATTACTGCTTTGGTTCTTAATCATGGTGGTTTCGCTCACTCGCTATGAAAGCTTTTGTCTTTTGTGAAAGGCTGTGTTGCATCACATTCGGTCATCGATGACAGTCTACTTACGGCTGGTGCTGAAGCTCGTCTTGGCCATATGTTTGGACATCAAGCTCAGGTATCAATTGTGGTTTTGTACGTACCTAGCTGGACCTGCGCCACCAAATGTGCGTGAGTGTTTGGTGTTGCATCTTATTCATTCATCGATCACAATCTACTTACAGCTGGTGCTGAAGCTCGTCTCTGCCATATATCTGGACATCATGCTCAGGTATCAATTGTGGTTTTGTACCTACCTAGCTAGACCAGGACCACCGAATGTGCGAGAGTGTTTGGGCCCCCTTCACTCCCCGCCCCCCTTCCCGGAAAGGGCGTGAGTTTACTGCGAGTATCTTTTATGTGTTTGCCGATTTGCGAATGCTGTGCTTCAGCGAACAAGTCGCCATTCACGAAGTGTAAATGGAGACACTCATCATGGGCTCCGTCAAGGAAAAGGGAAAAACTCCAAAAAAAACTAGGTTACCGGGCCGGACGTCCGGGACCCCCTTGACCGTCCGGGATGTCCGACCGGACGTCTGGTCGGACGTCTGGTCGGACGTCGGACCGGACCGGCATGTCCGACCTAGCGCAAAAAAAATAAAAAATAAAAAATAAAAAAATCATGTGGATTCCACCTTGCATTAGGTGTATGCCACCAAATTTTTGGATCATTTGGGCCAGTAGAATAAATAATAAAAATCTTTAAAGACTCATTCCCCATCTATACCCCTCCTATCCCCACCAAAACCCCTTCTACCCCCCCCCTCCCCCCCCAAATACCACCCTATCAGCAAATGCTCAGAAAAATCTGAATTTTTTTTGTGGGGGGTCTCTAGGCCATGCGCAACACTGTCATAATTTTTTTTATTTTTTTTATTTTTTTTGGTGCCAAAAAGGCGTCGTCCGGAAATCCGGACGACGGGGGGGGGGGAGACGTCCGGGGGAGACGTCCGGTGGAGACGTCCGGTGGAGACGTCCGGTCTCCGGACCATTGGTAACCTAGAAAAAAAAAAAAAAAAAAAAAAGCTCAAGCCTCGTGGTGATTTCGACACATTGTGATATTGGAGCCAGAGACTAAGGTTGTTATCTAGTCGGATCACGTTTTTGTATATTTGGTTCCTTGGTCTTTTTTTTTTTTTTTTTAATATGAACCCCGCGCTGGAGTGTGCTAGAGGGGGCGGGTGATACGAGCACATCCTCCTCTAGCAGCACCTGTCAGGGATTTAAAAAAAAAAAAATGAAAAAAACAAACTGGGCATAAACAGGTTTCAAAATACATATAAAGGTGGCCATCCCGACCAAAGAACCGAAACAGATGTTGAAATAAAACAGGATCTCCTCCTCCTGCAGGATCAAAAAAAGTGGTACTAAAATTTCTATCAGTTAATAGCATAGTTATAACTTATAGGATAATAGCGCCTGCTAATACTGGAAGTGACAATAAAAGCAGAAAAGCTGTAATTAGCACAGAATAGCGCCTGCTAATACTGGAAGTGACAATAAAAGCAGAAAAGCTGTAATTAGCACAGACCAAACCAAACAAATAGAGGTAATCTATGCATGGTCATTCCTGGGCCTCGCATGTTAAAAATAGGCGTAATGAAATTGATAGCACCTAATATCGAGGAAACACCCGATAAATGAAGACTAAAAATAGCTAAATCCACAGCTCCTCCAGAACGACTGGTTATACCGCTTAAAGGTAAAATGTTATGATCCTGGCCAATTTCGAAGTACACGTTCATGAGAAAGTACAATGCCGTCCAGTTGCAAAAAGAAATGAATGAAATTGAGAGGAGAGATAGGGACAGAAGAAGAAGAAGAAGAAGAAGAAGAAGAAGAAGAGAGAAAGAAGATGTACACCAGCAAAGACCAATGAGAATTCCCTTCTTCTTCACCAACCACTCTCCTCCTGCTTGTCTCCTCCCTTCTTATTCAAACAAGAAATAATAATAACAATGTTGAATGGCTGAACCAGAATCAAAAAAAAAAGAAAAAAAGAACCAGAATCAATGTCCACCATAGCCATGGCCACCCTTCTTCCTCCTCCCTCGAAGGCCCAGGCTATGGCGGACTACCAGGGCATTGCCCTGGTGTGCAAAGGATAACACAAAGCAGCTATGGCTGCTCAAGTTCAGGCCGCCATGCCTGACTCTACCTCGAAGCTTCTTGGTGTAGCTCTACCCCAACTGGGGCCTTCCAGATGCAGTGCCCACCAAGGTGATGAAGATGGCATCCACCATAGCCAGGTAGGCACCTCTCTCCCTCTTCGTAGTCCTCGTCTTCCTCCTCCTCCAGCCCGTGCTCCTCCACCATAGCCTCGTGGAGAGCTGGGCGCTCTGTCCTCCCCAGCAGCGCTGCTCCAAGCAGCGTTGCTCCTGCCAGCGCTCCAAGCAGTGTTTGCAAAACTTCCACACCGAAGAATGAGGAGCACTTCGCTCCTCCTGGAGATATAGCGGCCTGCTTGCCTCTTGGCGAGTGACTTCCTAGGCCGCGCGACCTCCAAGCAACTGGGACCTCCTCCCATTCAGAGGGAAACGTCATTGCAGACTCTGATATTGCCCGTACGGGTCCTCGACTCAGACTGGTTGGACTGGTACCCGCCTAGACGTAGCGTACAACTACTGGGCCTCTAAAAATGCCAACTTTGTCTTCTTCTGCTCGCCCTCGAGTACTCGGCACATCTATCTCTACCTGGTGTGGTACCGGCCTACCTGCTACTTGAGTGTTTTTCCGCTGCTTCAAGTGTCGAGGGCCTCCTTCCCCGTCATTTGATTGTTTTCCCTGCTGCAGCCCTTAATGCCACGGCCACAGGTTAGTACCAGCCCTTTGGGCCTTCCACACGACGAGTACCCTCGTGGGTCACACCCACACTAAAACCGACAAGCACTCAGACAGGCATGCAGACCAGCAAGCACGCACACACTCGGACTTAGAAAACTCAGCAAGGCATACCTTCCATTGGCAAAACTCAGAAATCAGCTGTGTGTCTCAGTGTCTGGCAGATCCTAACAAAAAGGTCTTCCGTTTTCAAAGGTGCAATTCTGAACTGGGCTGAATGACGATTATGGCGTAATTCCAGTTTTCAAAGGTCTGTTTCGTTTTCCTTTTTTTCCTTTTCTTTTCTTTGCTTTTCAAAGGCTGGTCTGATGTGGTTTGGGGGGTCCGGTAGGAGTGACAGCTTTCCTTATGGAACCTTGGTGTTCCGATGTCCCGAGCTAGCGGCAGTATCGATTGAGGGTTGATTTTGTTTGTATCTGGGCAGAGATGCGGCTCAGGGCCTGTTCTGATTTTCTGTCAAGTCAATCATTCTTCTCCCCCCTCCCCCCCACCCCAAAGCTGTGCTATTGGCATTTTTTATTTTTTATTTTTTTTCGTTTTTTTCCCCTGAAAACTCCACGCTTGCATCTGTATTTGCCTCGGTGCGGCTCTTTGCAATCAACCTTTCAACTCGTTAGCAGGTGGCATGTTCACCTTTTATGGTGAATTCAATCATTGGATAGAAGCGGGGGAGAAATTGGACGCCAATATTTGGAAACCTTGGGTGAACGGTACTGAGTCTAGAACGCATTTTTGGGTTATTGTTTTCTTTCATTTGAATTCGACTGTCTTTCTTTTTTTCTTAAACATTTGTGGAGTCTTGCGGACATGATGCCATACTAGAGTCCAGATTGTCTATATCCTTCTGCCGCTGGGGTATTTTGTACCTGCCCTGAATACAGGGCGCATGCCAATTTTTGAAATTGTCTAGGCTGGTCCCGAGGTGGCCCGGCTGGGGGAAGGTCGCCTGGGTACCCTCCCGGGCAGCCCCAGCGCATAATATGTAAACGAAGTTTAAAAAACCAAATTTTCAAAAAATTCCAAAAGAGAACTTGAAAAAAAAAATGTCGTATAAAATTGCAGTACAAGCAACTTTTGGCTGAGGGTCCCCTCGAAATTCGTTATTAATTTTAAGATAAAAAATAAATGAGGAGAAATGAGGTTAAGATATACCCTTTTAAACCCCTCTAGTCACAATTTAGAGTAACTTTATACCCTCCAAACACTCCTGGGTGACCCGCCACCGACATGGAATGTAAGGCCGGATTCTGACTGCTCAGGCCGAGTGCAGCCCTGGCCTGAAGTCGGTTCTGTTTTTGGAGATGGATCCTTCCCTCTTTTTTGACCCGCCTGGTTTTGTCGGGCCATCCCCCCCGGACTAGGTGCCCCGGGCATGCCTGGCCGGGCGACGGCCCAGCTTAGGAAATCGTATGTTTGAGCTTGTGATTCAGCCCCCTAAATCCACATTTGCCAGGAACTGTTCTCCTGACATCGAAGCATGGAGCACTCTGCCCTTTTTCGAGGCCAGATTCATGATCATGGAGGTCAGTTGATTGCTGAGAAAACAACTGCAGGTCGCGCAAGATTTGGACGAAGGGTGCGCAGATGTATCGCTGTCGAGAAATAGATCTAACCTTGTTGGTTACAACAAAGTGATGGGGTAACCCATATTTGGGAATAAAGGGATGCGGACACCTTGCCATAAATGGCAACACCCAGGAATGAGGGGGGACTAAATGTACCATGACGGGTTGGTGGGAACGAGAAGTGTGGGCTATGTTTGGTGTGTATTTTTCCAACCACGTCGTATATTAACAGATTAGGGGAGGGAGGGGGAAAGTGCATTGATATGTTATTGAACTTTCTGAGCAACTTGAATTGGAAGCTAACCAGCATGCTACTAGTAGGGGGGGAAGAACTATACCTGAAATAGATGAATGCATAGATGGTAGTTATGAATCCGTGCTTTTTTAGCCTCGAGTCCATCCGTTCGTGCACTGAACTGAACCGACGCCTTGAGCCACTTGCTAAGTCTCTTAACGACCGTGGTCATACTGGTCATGATATCCACCCCACCCTTGCAGGGCTGTAGTGTCCTGCTCGCTCCACTGCATGCGCACAACACCACACGGACCCGGCAATTCTCACACAGTTTTCTCCGTTGCCTGCTCGCCGCATGAGGCGTGAAAGCTCTCGTCGTACATAGGGGCTTGTGTCTAAAGATTTCATAATATCTGGGAAATTTTGCTAACGTGTCTCCATCGACACCAAAGATGACTCGAGCTGGGCTGGCCAAGCGGGGTATCGGGAGTTAGGGGAGGCTTCCCGTATCACCCCCCTCTAGTGACGCTGCTCTGGCATTTCAAAAAAAAAAAAGAAAA